ACACCAAAAAACACAGCTCTCACCTTGAAGGGAAGAAGAGATAATTCTTCTGCAGCCAAAAAGGAGTGGCTATGGCCCAGGAACATAGATTTAGGTTACTCCAAATTTCCATGTTTCAATATGGATGAAATTTTATAGTAATAGAACAAAGAAAATCATAAATCAGAACACTTTTCCAACACATTGGTACAAACATCAAAAGGACAGTTATGGGACACACCTCAGCTATGGCCTCAGATGTCATCTGATGACTCAGCCTTTGGTTGATAAAAAAAAATAGGGTTTTGTTAACTTAGTACATTCCAGTGTTAGGTCTGACATGGGGCTTGGCAACAAAGAGTGGCTACTTAGTGGGCTAAAGATAGCCCAAGATAGATTGTAACTGAGCTCTGGAACTACAACATTCCAAACTCTCCACGGTCATTGAACCAGGCTCTGCAGCAACACCTTCTCTTTAGGAATTACCCTTCACAGCCTAGGGTACATACAAGTAATTCTGAGGCAACAGGTACAGCAGAGTCAGACACTGCTGAGATGGACTTCCAGCCATACCACTGCAGGCTGCGTACATTTAGACAAGCCCCATGATCTTCCAGAGACTCCAGTTGACTATAGGATGGATCATCAAGGCAATCAAATGACAGGCACTGAGTCAACTTCTAGAAGGGGCTCTTTAAAAAATGAACAGAGCCAGGTGGTGGTTTCCCACGCCTTTAATCCCAGCAATCAGGAGGCAGAGACAGGCAGATCTCTGTGAATTCGAGGTAAATCTGGTCTACCGAGTGAGTTCCAAGACAGCCAGGGCTACACAGAGAAACCTTGTCTGGAAAAAAAATGAACAGGAAGAGCCAGATTATCAGGGAGGCTCCAGAAGAGTTTGGTGCTGTCTGGGCTACAGCTGCCTTATCAGCAGATACAGTGGGCTCCTGTTGTGTGGTATTATGAGCCAGGAAAACAGGATGATCTTACAGTATCCATAGCAGGAGTGGACAGAACAGCAAAGATTTTCCAGACTTGTGATGGGAGATTTTAACAATTCATCTCTAGTTAGCAGAGAAAATAGACCAAAGATCAGTAAGGGATACAAATCTGAACAGTGTAACACACTTTGTCACAACGCACACTGTGTCAGTCACTTTTTTGTTACTGTGACAAGTAATGGAGAGAAATAGTTTGAGGAAGGAGAGAGTCATCTTGGCTCATGGTTTCAGAGGTCTCAACCCATAGTCACTAGGCTTCCTTGCCATGGGCCTGTGATAAGTCAGAGAGAGCATCACCATAGAGAGGGCAGAGCCACCCACTTTGTGGGAACAGATAGGAAGGGGCCAGGGCAAGATCAAGGACACCTCCCCTTTAGAACACTTCCTCCAACTAACTAGGCCTTACCAAATGAAGTTTCTAGCACCTCCCAAAATACCACCATGACAATTAGGAACCAGGGCTGGCAGGTGGCTCAGAGGTTAAGAGCACTGACTGCTTTTCCATGTTCCACGTTCTCTCTCTCTCTCTCTCTCTCTCTCTCTCTCTCTCTCTCTCTCTCTTTCTCTCAAACACACACACACACACACACTAATCAGTTATCTAAAATTTCTTTACTATTTCTGCATTAATGATATTTATTGTGTTACTGGTGTCTCTGTGATATATATTTTTTTTCCTGTGTGATAGCTTCCAGTTATTGGGTGTCCAAACAACTTTTGTCCATAAACTTCCTCATATTGGTGAGTACCATATTAGAGATTAAGAATCCCAACTTGATGGGGAATGGAGAGATGGCTCAGAGGTTAAGAGCACTGGCTGCTCTTCCAGAGGTCCTGAGTTCAATTCCCACCAACCACATGGTGGCTCGCAACCATCTGTAATGAAATCTGGTGTCCTCTTCCCTCTTCTGAAGTGCAGGCAAATGTGCAAGTAGAACATTGTATACATAATAAATAAATAAAATCTTTAAAAAAAAAGGACTCTCAACTTGAACTGAAAAACAAATATTTGAAAAATTTGCTTTAATGTAAAAGAACCTACCTAATGTTAAGATAAAAATACAGATTTTTATTAGAAACAACTTTATTTTCTTGAAACAAAAAAAATAGCAAATAAACAAAAGCATCACTTCCCTTTTCTTATATTTTTTTTACTTCCCATTTTTACAATTCTTCATGATGTCTGGCTTCATGAGAGTATTTGCTATACTGTGTGAAGGGAATCCAGCCGCACAGATAGGGAATTGAGAGCAGTGGGTGGGATGGTACCTTTCAGGTTAATTTCAAGGTAGTATGTGAAAGCGTATCTGTAAACTCTTCAACTCCATTATGTTGTGGCCAGGGTCTATCCCCAGTTAGAATGGATTTGATGCCCACACAATTTTGTAAGAGTAATACAGACTAGAGAGGAGGGTGACAGTGCCCTGGCAATCACCTTCTCCATCATTGTAATCACTGAGGTTTATGGCACCAAGTCACATGGATTTAGAGTTCATATTGTCTCCTTTTAACTGAAGGAATGCTTTCAAGATGTGCAGATCTTATAAAATTGAACCTTGGAAGGGACCTTGGATCAAAGATGACACTAATAAAGCCAGTAGGAATGAACAGGATAATAGCCGACCCGATGCATCTCCAGTTTACAAGGTTAGAAACAGAAGCATTGAGTAACCAAGTCTGACAGCAAGATTTCCAGAAAGGCCTGGGGTTAGCAGGAGGGGGGCCTGGAGTTAGCAAGAGAGGGGGCTGAAGTTAGCAGGAGAGGAGCCTGGAGGTAGCAGGAGAGAGGTCTGGAGTTAGCAGAAGGGGAACCTGGACTTAGGAGGAGGGGGGCCTGGAGTTAGACGGAGGGGGGCCTGGGGTTAGCAGGAGGGGGGTCTGGGGTTAGCAGGAAGGGGGACTGCTTACACAGTGCTTACTCCCAATCTTACCACCTTCAGCATCAGCCCCAGGTCTGTACTAAGCTTTAGATAGTAGCCATGAGGGAAGAGAGCAGTCTCAAGATCTCTCTGTGTGGTATTTGTTCCTGTAGGCTTAGAGTGCACATGTGAGTGAGATGTGTCTATGTTTGCATGTGTGGGTTTGAGTGTGCATGTATGAAAGTGCATGTGGAGGCCAGAACTTTCTTCCTCAGTAGCGCGCTATCATTTTTTTATGGTTTTTATTTGTTTTTGTTTTGTGTTGTTGTTGTTGTTGTTGTTGTTGTTTGGATACAGGGTCTCACTATGTAGTCCTTGCTGGCCTGGTACTCACTATATAGATCAGGCTAGCCTCTAACTTTGAGAGATCCATCTGCCTCTGTATTCCAAGTGCTGGGATTAGAGGTGTGCACCCCGATGCCCAGCAACCATCTTGGTAATGAGAATTCAGAATCTTGAATCTAGAACTCAGAAATTCAGCTAGAATGACTGGCCCCACTGAGTCACCAAGAAGCCTCCTATCTCAGACTTCCCAGTACTGGGATTACACCGTGTTCTACCACGAATGGCTTTTTATGTGGATGCTGGGGTCCAAGTTCAGGCCCTCATGTTTATGTGGCAAGCACGTTAGTTACTGAGTATCTCCCCAGCCTCAGAACTCTCTTTATAAAGTCAACAATCGTCTTTGTTGTCAGTAGGAAAGTGAATTATTCAGCCATGTCCATATAGCTCAAGTCTATAGAAGACATCCATAAATTAGCCTCCCAAGTAGCTGAATATTTCCTTAACTGTTTCCAAGACAAGATAAAGCAAAAACACTAGAAATAGTAAACAGAAATTGATATGAAGGTGTCCTGAGTGCCTCCGGTCTAATTAGCAAGAATGGAGGAAGAAAAGGTGTACTGAACTCTCCCAAGTTTGGTGCTGATACCATAAAGCCAGTAATACTCCTAGTGTACCAAACTGAGCTTTCATTTATGATTAACAGTTCATCACTATTCAAGGACAGGCTGCAGCTCAGTGGTATAGGAACTGGGAAGGTGCCCATGCTCTTGTACCCTAATTCAACTCACACACTCTCTCTCACTCACACACTCACACTCACACACACACTCACACACACTCACACTGACATACACTCTCACACATACACTCACACTCACAACACTCTCTCACACACTCATGAACTCTCTCACACACTCACATACTCATACTGACACTGAGACACACACACACACATACACTCAGACACTCACACACACTCACACTGACACTGAATACACTCTCACACATACACTCACACTCACAACACTCTCTCACACACTCACACATACTCACACTCACACACTCACACTGAAACTGACACACACACACACTCACACAAGCACAGATAGGAATGAGGCACAACTGGGATCAGTGGGAGTGGGTGCAGGGCAGGTGTGAAGGGGGAAAGACAGCCTGTGGGAAGACAGCAGTAATGTGAGTCTAGTGTCTGTCACTGACTTGGACAGCAATCAGGAATATTTGGATTATTTTGTTAATTCCCCATTTACAAAGGAGGGACAACCCATTCTGTTTCACTGGGGTTGGGATCCAACCCTAGAGAAACTGTGTTTGTCCAAGCATTTATAAGTGTTTGTAAGAGTCATGAAATCCTGGAATCAAGGCATATATTTTCATCTTTGTTAATTTTCTTTTAGTTTCAAGAGATATCTTAACACCTTTCATATTGGGCCTGAATACAATATCAAGTTCCGAACTGAGCCATCAGCAGTTAGTTGAACTTGATTAGGTATTGCAGGCTCCTCCAATTTAAGACTGTTGGGCAGAAGTGAAGGGGGAGGCTCATGGTCACCTGACTGGGGAAACACTCTTGGAAGATCCTCAGCCACCTCTCCCCAGTCTGCTGGAGACAGGAGATTCCTGAACTGTCAGCCTGCTAACCCTGAAGAATGTTCCAGGGCTGTAACCTCCAGCTGCACCCAGCTTTGAAGAGCTCAGGGTGTCTTGTGAGCTGGTGTCTGTGCAGAGTTGCGCTTCTCTGCTCCTTGTAAGAAAATGCTCACCCTTCCTCCTGTTAGTAACCCACTCATTGACTCACCAACTTGGACTTCAGTGCAGGTGTTGCTTTGGTCTGTCACAGGCACTCTTTCTGGAGAGAATAGATGTAATGTTGTGTTTTCCCTGAAAAGTCTGTCTGTCACACAACAACTCCACGGACACCTGTAATCACACATATATGTAAATAAATTCTTAAAGAACAATAAGTAAATAATCGATTAAAAGTTTTAAAACATAAGCCCATTTCTCTGGTCTCTGGCCTCTCCCGGAGTGACTGACATACCATAGGCACCACGTGTCTACAGATGTACTGAGTTTTACTGAAGCATCAGAACCACTCCTGAGCTTTGCACTGCATAGGTGATATTGGGCATGACACTCCATCTTATCTACAGAGGAGCCTGGGAAGCTGCTCCCTGTTAAAGGGTGTTCTTGGGCTGGGGTGGCAGCTCAACTCACAAATATGAGGACCTGAGTGGGGTTCTCCAAAACCCATTTTTTTTTAAAGCCAGACATGATGGCATGTGTCTGTAATCTTATTCCAGAACTGGGGAGGGAGAGACAGGCAAGTTCTGGAGTTCACTGACCAACCTCTCTGATAGAGTTGATAAAGGAACATACAAAACTTACTTCTTCTCTTATGTCCGTTTATCATATTATTTAGTAAAAATCATTCATAATCTCACTTCCTACTGACTACAAATAAAATTTATCTGAATGAGGCCAGGTGGTGGTGGCGCACACCTTTAATCCCAGCACTCAGGAGGCAGAGGCAGGTGGATCTCTGTGAGTTCGAGGCCAGCCTGGTCTACAGAGAGAGTTCCAGGACAGCCTCCAAAGCAATACAGAGAAACCCTGTCTCGAAAAACCAAAAAGAAAAAAAAAAAAGAAAAAGAAAAAAGAAAAAAAGAAAAGAAAAAACTTATCTGAATGAACACACAGAAACACACAATTATCATAGTAGGTATAAATCAGGGAAAACTAGAAATGATAGATAACTGTATGTAGCTAGCTATATGTACATAAATATATCCAGATAAGTATACAGAAAAATGGAGTCACACAGCCTCCTGGAGTTCTGCTGATTTTCTTTTTAGATCTATGGCTGCATATTTTCTTTTGCCTTTCTCTCTTTCACTAAAAAAAGTAAAATTCCCTGCATGTTGTTCTTTAACTTTCTTTTAAAGTAAGCTATTAGGAGCTGGAGAGGTAGCTCAAAGGCTAAGGGCATTGCCATGTGATCATGATGGCCCAGCTCCAGGGAATCTGATGCCCTCTTCTTCCCTCTGGGTTGGCACAGGCATGTGTACCTCCCCCACACACACACGTGAAAATATACTCACACAAAAATAAATAAATAAACAGAATAAAATAAAGATGTTAAGTAAGTTAGCTATTATGAGCTGATGAGATGGCTCAGTGGGTAGATGAGACGCTTGCCACCAAACCTGATGACTTCAGCTCTATCCCTGGGACACACATGGTAGAAAGAGAGAACCGACTTCCAAGCATTGTCCTCTGACCTTCACTCATGAGCAACATGTGTGTGCATGCATGCACACACACACTACACAAAAGACAGTAAAGATAATATTAAAATTTAATTTTGTAAAATATTATTATCGTTATTTGGGTTATTAGTATAGAAGTGTGTTTTTAGAAGGGCACCATCAATTCCATTTTTCAGAAGAGGAAACTGGAGATAACAAACTTTACATAAACTGTAGTCTGGGCCATTTTAACCTTTTTTAGTTTTTGAGACAGTGCCTATGTAGCCCTAGTTGGTCTAGAGCTAGCTATGTAGACTAACTTGATCTCAAATTCAGAGATCCACACTCCTCTGACTCCTGACTGTGTGCCACCATGCCCAGTTCAACCCAGTCTTAGACTCCAAACCCATATGTTTAATCAATAAACCCTCATGAGAACATTGACTTAAAATTAATTGTTCAATTTAGTAAAGTCACAGGTACAAAATTTTGTTTAAGTTTAAATTATAAATCATTTTCTTATTCTCCTGATAAAGATTTTAATGATCATTTATAAAGAGCTTGGAATGCTTTGGTCCCATTTACAAATTTAATTAAATGCCTTAATTATTTCAAATTGAAATTTGAAATTTAACACAACCAATATCTTTGTCAGTATCCAAATTATCTCATTAACAGAGACCCTTCCAGTTAAGAAATACTTGTAAACTTAATATGCTCAATATAAATATGTCTTAGATGCTTTTGATTATTCCTCTACTGTTTATAAAATAAATAAGATTTAGATATTAAATAACAGGCTTAAGCCAGTTACTCATTGACATATTAATGGGTAGAATTGCAAATTAAGTCATCAAGTCTATTAGACATTACAAATGCTAAAGTGTTAAACAGAAACAAACTCATTAACACATAAATATTAATGCTATTTGTTGAATTTACTTCATCGTGATATTTAACTCTAAGTATCTTTAATCAAAGCATTTACACAGTCAGTTCATGTAGAAGAGGAGAATCCTGTATTATGCCAATTGTCTCATTAATAGCAATGGTTCTGGACAGAATGTCGGAAACAACTGTGTGAAGGCACTGGATGGAACAGAAACGGTATCATCTACACAGAGGAAAGCCCCCAAGTGTGGTCCAATCGGGTCAGCTTTCCCTGGCACACTTCTGTGCTCATTGCAGCAGCTGGGGCAATCCAGCTGAGGCAGAGGGTGACATCCTCCTAGGCTGAGGAGCTCTAAGACAGAGGCTTGAAATGATCCTGATGCATTAGAAACTGGAGCAGGCAGGGCACAGAACAGAGAAAGGAACAGAGGAAAAAGATTCAAAAAGCTATTTAAAATTCTAAGAGGCTGCTGAGCAGTGGTGACACACACCTTTAGTCCCAGCACTCAGGAGGCAGAGGCAGTAGGATCTCTATGAGTTTGAGACAAGCCTGGCCTACAGAGAGAGTTCCAGGACAGCCAAGCTACAGGGAAACCCTGTCTCCAAAGGGGAAAAAAAAAAAGAAAGAAAGAAAGAAAAAGAAAATTCCTCGAGGTTAAAGAAGATGGCTTAGAAAATAAGGGTACTTACTATGCAAGTACGAGAACCTGTGAATCCCTAGCACCTACATTAAAAACACCATACAAACAAAAAACCCCAAACCCAAAACCCTGGTGTGGTAGCAAGAGGAAAGTGCAATGGTGATAGATAAGAATTTGAGCGATAAAGGATTTTCCCTGAAACTAGAAGCCGGAAGAAATCCATACACTGTCTTTCGAGTGCTGAAAGATAAGACCTGGCAACCAGAATCTTATGTTTGTCCATGGCAGCCTTTAGTCAGGAAAACAAATCAAGATATTTTCAGATGATGAAAACTAACAGAGCATGATGGCAGCAGACCTACACCAACAGAGTGGCCAGAAACCTCTTCACAGCCAAGAAAGGCTAAATGAAACTGGTGAAACGTGGAGGAAGTTAAAGATAAAAGAGGAAAATATGTAAGTGGATATAATAGGCTGTCTTCCCCTTGCGTTTCCTAAATTGCATCTGATAGTTGGAGCTAAAATTATAACATTGTATGACACAGCTCTTGATGTAACTAAGTATTTCAGATAACCGCACTACAAGGAGGGTGAAAGAGTCTGCAGGTTCCTACTTCTTACTCAAGTAGGGAAGTATTGCTATCAGTAAGCAGGACTAAATAATGCACATAGCAAAAGCTAGAGCAGGCACTGAAAAACACATATGAGAGGGCTTCAAACATGTCACAGGTAGGAACTAGAGAGATGGCTCAGCAGGGTAGGTGTGCTTGCTGTGTGTGTGTGTGTGTGTGTGTGTGTGTGTGTGTGGATAGCCAAAACAGTATCTGAGATTTACATGTGTATACATTCATATACATGTGTATACATATATACACACATATATATATATATATATATATATATATATATATATATACACACACACACAAGAACATGTATGCACACATACAAAAGAAAGGAAAGAAGGGAGAAGAAAGGAAGAAAGAAAAGATTGGCTACACATAGGGATTGGCAAGATGGCTCAACAGATAAAGTATTTATACCGAGTGTGACAACCTGAGTTCCATCCCCAGGACCCATGTGACAGAAGGAGAGAAACAGTTCCCACAAGTTGTCTCCTCTGATCTTCACACGTCCAATGTGGCATGTGTGCACACCATCACTTCCTTCATCATAAGATAAACAAATAGATAATATCTTTTTTTTAAAGATTTATTTATTACATATACACTGTTCTACCTGCATGCCAGAAGAGGGCACCAGATTGAATTGTAGATGGTTGTGAGCCACCATGTGGTTGTCGGGAATTGAACTCAGGACCTCTGGAAGAGCAGTTAGTGCTCTTAACCTCTGAGCCATCTCTCCAGCCCCCAAATAGATATATCTTTAAAAGTTTTTAAATTGTAATTACATAGGGTAAAATTCACTCTTTTTTGGAACACAGTTCTGTAAGTTTTGATAAATATACAGAACAATGTCACCACCACTAACAACAAGATGGGGGATGGGTTCTATCTATCTATCTATCTATCTATCTATCTATCTATCTATCTATTTATCTATCTGAGATAAGGTTTCTCTGTGAAGCCCTGGCTGTCCGCAACTCTTCCCATAGAACAAACTGGACTCAAACTTGGAGATCTGCCTGCTTCTGCCTCCCAACTACTGGGTAGTACTAAAAGCATGTGCCACCACCTCCCAGCTAAATTTTTTAGACATCTTTATTTTATTTTTATGTGTATGAGATTTTTCTTGCATGTGTGCACCATTTGCATGCCTGGTGCCCACAGAGAAACTGGAGTTAAGGTAGACAGCTGTAAGCTGCCTTGTGGGTTCTGAGACTTGAACCCAGGTCCTTTGCAAGGACAGCAAGCACTCATAACCACTGAGACACTTCTCCGGCCCTAGAAGACAGGTTTATCTTGCAGAAAAATATTCCTTTGTCCCTCTTCTCTGCAGCCAACCCTCCCCCATCCCTAAGGCCAAAGACACCAACCCATTTGCTATCCCTGCGGTTTGGTCTTTTCCACAGTGTTTTTCTGTTTTGGGGTATAAATGGAATCACACAATATGTAGCTAAAGTATGTATGCAGAGGCACACAGCATGTGAACCTGGGGTGGTAGCCTTAATCCCAGCAATTGGGAGGCTGAAGT